CAAATTATTTAACAGATGGTAGGAGACATTTAGACAAGAATGTAGTGGTCTTTGAAAATCTGTAGGCATCACTGAGAACAAGTTATATCAGACAATTCTCAATTCCTCTTTTATTAGGCTTACTTTGTTAGTAGGTGAAGAAAATGGCATTGCAAGTTCATGTAAGCTGTCATGATTTTAACAAAGCTTTTATTTCATGAAGTATCCTGAGGTAATGACTATATGAGATTGGTTGACAGTGGTTTGGGGATTTGCATATATTGAAAAAAATACTCCTGAGACATAGTGATTATTCATTCTATGTGTGTCTGGAGTGAGCTCTCTTATGAAGTTTGATGATATATCCTATTACCCTATAAAGCAGCATTTCTCAAACTGTGGGTTGTGACCTCTTTGGGGGTCGAACAACCCTTTCACAGGGGTCGCCTAAGATCCTTGGAAAACACATACTTGTTGAAATATGTGTTTTCCAATGGTCTTAGGAACCAAGACACTGCTCCTCTATCCGTCTCCAGGTGGGTCCACCCACATGCAGATATGCCCACATATAACATGAGGAACTGTATTAAAGGGTTGTGGCATTAGGAAGGTTGAGAACCACTGCATAAAGAGTCCAACCACCTCTTAATGGCTGTGGAGCAGATAGAGAATCACTGTAAATCACATAAAGACATCAATAACTGATAAAACTGTAGTAATAATTTTCTCTATTAATCATTTTTAAAAAATCAAGCATGTACTACAGTTCACCATTTGAAGTATTTCTATTATTACCAAGATGCTCAGGCTGAGAAATACATTTGAACATTTGAAAAGAAACAAAACTTGAAATGTGGTTTTATGTTAAATCATTTAGAAGACCTCAGTTACCAAACAACTAAAAACACACAATAGCAGATAAATAGAAATTCATTAAAATCATTGTCTCCTATAAGCCTGACCTTGATACAAATTAATCCATGGTGTATTTTTTGAGTTTTTATTTATTTTTCTAGATGGAACAGTATTTGCAAATTTTCAAGATGATTAACCAGAATAGGAGTATATTCTGTGACCATTATTAATAAAGTTCTGTGGCATGCAAAAACAAAACAACAACAACAAAAAACACTATGTCTCCAACAATACAAAAATTAAATATTGAGGCATCTTTTACTCCCATCTTGGTAAATGCAGTGAAGAGAACTGTTTTAAATAGGAATCAGTATTTCTGTTCAGATGCTTTCAATTTTACTGGCAGATTTGATTTTATATTACCCTATTCCACATGCCTTGGAAAGCTTTCATGGTCAAACATTGTGACCCAAACCAAGAGAAAAATAGAAACAAATATTCACTTAGTAAAGAGAAGCAGTTCCCCCTTGAAAAATGAAAAGGAACTACAAAGAATATTATATGTAAAGCTCAAATACCAGTATTTAAATTTATTTGAAGCAATTTATGCCTCAGTAATTAGAGAAAGAAGAGATGAACACTTAATTAAGACGAGAAGCCTATTAATATAGATCACGCTGAGGAATAATTGTTCACTCAGTATTATATTACCCTGGGATAGGAGTTTTTGAAAAGGGCTTTATACTTCATTTTTTGAAAAATTATCACATCTACTAGAATAAGATCACATAAATTAACATTGATTACTTATTATCCTCCATATTTGCCCATTGACAAAGCTCAAAAGGCTTCCAAAGTATACTCAACAGTAACATTTTCACCTTTTAAGACAAGTTTGTGAAAATAATTTAATACAACCAAATCTATTCATGAATTTTCAGCTTAAAACATTTTTACTTAAGAAACATACAAAAAATTGTTTTATAAAAAGCTCCTCCAATACTAGAAAAGAGTAACAAAAGATTTTGAACCCAGTTTAGTTTTCTTTTTTATCCTCTCCTGAGGACATTTTTGCATTTATCTTCAGATAGAGTGAGAGGGAGAGAGGGGGAAAGAGAGAGAGAGAGAAACATCAAAGTGAGAGAGACACATTGACTGGCTGTCACCCACACAACCCCAACCAAGACTGGGGACAAACTGCAACCAAGGCATGTGCCTCAGCGGGAACCGTACCTGGGACTCTCTGGTCCACGTGACATTTTAAAGGATGTTCTTCCCTTGTTTCAAATTCTAAGTGCTATTCATCACCTGTAGAGCTAGTTTTGCTTAAATGCTTCAGCACATCAATCCAGTTCCATTCTAGATGAGGTTCTTCTTTGTGATCTGTTTCATCTGCCAATTTACGTTTCTGAGTTTTTGTGTTTTTATCCTTACCTGAGGACATTTTTGCATTTATCTTCAGATAGAGAGGAGGGAGAAAGGGAGGAAAGAGAGAGAGAAATATCGACGTGAGAGAGACACATCGACTGGTTGCCACCCACACAATCCCAACCGGGGCCGGGGACAAACCACAACTGAGGTACGTGTCCTTAGTGGGAACTGAACCCAGGACTCCCTGGTCCGCAGGCTGACACTCTAACCACTGAGCAAAATTGGCCAGGGCCATTTCTGAGTTTTTGAAAGTTGTTTTCTATTGTCTTTTTTCTTACGTGATGGGGCTATGTTAGGAGTTTAACTGAGACAATATCGCTTATGGATATCGTAGAATTAACGGGATGGTGATTCTCCATGAACTGCTCTTTATTGTCCTTGGCATATTTGAACAACATGTAGGTCATAGCAGTGCTGAGATTGACTTCCATTGCTTCCTAATACTTGGCTAATATGCTCTGCTTTATCTCTATTTTAAAAAAGTGTTCATAGAGATAATTGGAGGTATATGGGGATATGTTTCTGTCCATGAAATCTCTATTAAGAAGGCTTTGGGCTCTCTGTGCTTCTTGAACTTGAATTCCTTCTTCCTTCACCAAATTAGGAGGCAAAGAACCCAATTAAAAAATGGGCAGAGGAACTAAATAGACACCTCTCCAAACAGGACATACAAATGGCTAAGAGACAGAAGAAATGCTCAACATCACTAATCATCAGAGAGATGCAAATTAAAACAACAGTGAGGTATCACCTCACACCTGTCAGAATGGCCTCCACCAACAAATCATCAAACAAGTGTTGGTGAGGGTGTGGAGAAAAGGGGACTGTAGTACACAGCTGGTGGGAATGCAGACTGGTGCAATCACTATGGAAAACAATACAGTGTTACCCCCCAAAATTAAAAATTGAACTGCCATTTGACCCAGTGATCCTACTTCTAGGAATATACCCTAAGAAGCCTGAAACACCAATCAGAAAGAATATAGGTACCCTCATGTTTGTAGCAGCACTATTTACAATAGCTAAGATCTGGAAGCAGCCCAAATGTCCGTCAGTAGACTAATGGATAAAAAGGCAGCGGTACATATACACAATGGAGTACTATGCAGCTGTAAGAAAGAAAGATCTCTTATCCTTTGAGACGACATGGAGGGACCTGGAAAGTATTATCCTAAGTGAAACAAGCCAAACAGAGAAAGACAAGTATCACATGATCTCACTTATTTGTGGAATATAATGAACATAACAGTCTGAGGAATGGGGTAGTCCCAGAGACGTGGAAGTGGGGTACAGACTGACAGTCCCTAGAAAAGGGGGTGGAGGGGGAGAGATAAACCATAGAACTTATATGTATGTATGCAGGAACAATGGACATGGACAAAGCTGGGGACAGGGTGGGGAGGGAGAGGGAGGAGGAATCAGTGGGGGGGGGGGGGGGAGAAACATCTGTAACAAAAATAAATTAAATAAAAAAATAAAATAAAATAAAAAAGAAGGCTTTGGGATCCCCATTTTGACCCTATATTGAAATGAACCTGAACTTAATTCCTGGTATCTTTCATTTTCTTCATATATAGAATGTCAGGTTTCCAGTTCCATCTCCTGGTCCTCATTGGCACTCATCTCATGGGTCGCCAAGACTGTGAAGAGAAACACCGGGTCCTTGGCTATAGGAGGCACACCCTTCCCACTGCAGACAACAGTCATTCGAACCCCAGCTCTCCTGCACTGTAGAGACCCTGGCTGAAGGGTTGTGGGCGTGTTGCTTGGGCAAAATAAATTAATTTTAAAAGAAGAATATAGTTCCTCCTGCGGATAGGCAATCCATCAGTCCCTTGGAAAGTTTGCCATAACAGTACACAACTTTGCTAGCAGTTGCATATTTTTGCCCTTGATGTTTTTTTAAAAACCTAGGTTGAGCCTGGATGGTGTGGCTCAGTGGATTGAGCATGTCCAGTGGACTGAGAGGTCCCAGTTCAATTCCCAGTCAGGGCATATGACCGGGTTGTGGGCTTGATCCCCCACAGGGGGCATGCAGGAGGCAGCTGAATGTTTGATGTTTCTCTCTCATATCAATGTTTCTCTCCCTTTCTCTCTCTAAAAATCAATAAAAACATAAAGAAAAAAATGTATAATATGGAGTATATTAGGCCCTATGATAAAATATGTATGTGAAAGAAGGGAGAAGTTATTTTTCTCTAGGACAGCAATGGGTGAGGAGGTCAGAGAGAGCTTCATAGAAGAGGTTACTTGAGGAGTAGTAACAGATTAAGGACCGACCAGTTTCTCCCTGACACTCTGAGGAGGAACAGCAGCAAAACAGATGTAGGTGGAAGACCTATCTCCTGGAATGTGTTAAACTAACATTGACTACAATAGAACCTAGTGCTCATTCTTGGTATATCTTCTAGCCCCATTTCACCAGCAGCTGAAACACAAACATTTCCCTCCCTCTCTTCCCTCCTTCTTATTTCCATCCTTCCCTTCTTTTCCTTTTTCCTTTTCTCCTCCTCTCCTTCTAATTTTTTTTTATAAGAAGAAGGATATGTATATAAACAAATTATGATTCAGTAGCAACTACATTAAATTTTTTTATTGGGAAAGATACTGTAGGTAAACCCAAACTTTGTATTGTTGAAAGAAATATTTGATGTTATTTAGAGTTGTATGCTAACACACATTTGCAATAATGTACCTTTTGTCTGGGTTCCCTCATATGAACAATCTTCCTCTAGGTGGCAGAATTACTTCTTTTCAATGGAGCTGATCCAGTATTTAGAAGTGACTATGGTAAGTGTGCTTTGGATGAGGCCAAAGATACACGTATGAAGCGTCTTCTTGAGAGATATGTTCCTAAACATCAAAAACATCTTATTTCAGGTAAGATTAAACTGATGTTCACCATATCAGTAGAAAGTTACAGAAATTGATTTTAGAATTATAGAAATTAAATTTATTTTCCTTATAAGTTTTCAGAAAATTCACCCAGTGGTGTCCTTGCTCCATTTCTTTTAAAAATATTTATTTATTTTAATCCTCACCCAAGGATATGTTTTTCATTGATTCTAGAGAGAGAGGGAGGGAGGGAGGGAGAGAGAGAGAAACATCAGTGTGAGAGAAAGATACATTGATCAGTATGCACCCCAACCGGGGATTGAACCCACACCTGGGTATGTACCCTGACCAAGAATTGAACCCATGATGCCTCAGTGCACAGGATGATGCTCCAGTCAACTGAGCCACACTGGTGAAGGCCTTGCTCCATTCCTTTAATTGAAGGGACTCTAAAAGAACAAAGAAAAGTAATAGCAAATGTACTTTTCCCCAGGTAGTACATTGCAAACAGTTAAGAAAACTTCTATATAGTTCTTACACTCCTCATAATCCTTTGGCTAAATACCATGATGTGATGTAAATTATATTTGGCTATATCTTTGTCAGTGAATATAGCCAAGTTGTGTATTTCCATTCCCTAAGAAGCTTTTCTTATGGCTATACTTTTGCCCTGTCATCTAATACACTTCTAAATTGAACTACAAAACAACTCAATCTGCAGTTGTCAATAAAAAGATTATATATAGCATATTCTTGATGTTCTTCTTAATGCATGATATATATTGATATATATATATATATTTTTTTTTTTAAAGAAAAATATTTTCCAGGAGCCACCTAACAGGTACAATTTCTAAGAGAATCTGGAAATAAGAAGGAGCTTTTGTTTCCTCTCAGTTTTAAGAATCTCCATGTACCAGTATAACCCACTTAATTAATGCATCACTGCATTTCTCTGCTCAAAACCCTGCAGTAGCTCTCCATTTAATCTAGAAGAAATGCCAGTATCCTCACAATGGCCCACCAACCACTACCACTTAATCTCTTCTTGTACCACTCTCTACCTCTGTCACTTGACTTCAGTCACACTGGCCTCCTTGCTGTTCCTCTCTTGTTCCACCTCCTTTAAGTCTTAGTTCAAATGTCATCTTCTTAGTGAGGCCTGGACCACCCTACTTAATACTGCAAACTGCCTTTTTCCTACCCTAATTGCATTAGTTATCTATCACTATTTAACAGTTACCCCAAAACTTAACATCTTCAAACAAAGATTTATTATCTCTCTCAGTTTCTCAGGGTTAGAAATCTGGGAGCAGTTCAGTGGAGTGTTCTGTATTTGGGTCTCTCATAGGCTACAGTCAAGCTACCAGTAAGGGTTGTGGTCATCTCAAAGCTCACTAGAGCAGGAACATCCACTTTTCAGCTCACTTACATGATTATTGGCAGGCCTCAGTTCCTTGCTGGTTGTTAGCTGGCGGCTTCAGTTACTTGACAAATGAGCTTTTCCATAGGGCTGCTGACAACCTGATAGCTAGCTCAGGTCAAGTAATCCAGGAGACAATGCATCCAAGATAAAATATTTGGAATTGATATACAATAACTTCTGCCATATTGTATTTGTTAGAAGTGAGTCTCTAAGTCTGGCCCACACTCAGGGGGAGCAAAATTAAGCTCTGCCTCTTGAAAGGAAGAGTATCAAAAATTTCACGAACATTTTTTAGAACCACCACACTTCAATCCCCCTTACCCTACTGTATTTATTCTTTTCCAATGGCACTTAACACCATCTTACACATTGGACAATTGCTTATTTTTTATTTTTGGTCTTCCCCACTAGAATCTAGGCTCTATGAAGGAAAGGATCTTTGTCTTGTATAGTAATGAATACTAAAGTTCCATGTACATAGGAGGCATTCAGTAAATATTTGTTGAATAAGTAGTGTGTCAGTACTTTGAAACAAAACAAAACTAATTCTTTCCATTCAAGAGATGTGTGTGCTTCATTCACTTTTATTTTAACTATATATTATTAGAATTTTTCCCAATTGGTAATTGTTTGAATGCCAACGACTAAGGACTAAGATCTGGATCAAAACACCCTACTTTTATAATAAAGAGATAACTTCATTGATATTTAAAGCCACTAAGAGGCAATTAATAAATAGTTCTTTGGAACAAAGTAATTTTTTCTGGTAGCTAGTCTCACTGGAAAATAAGAAGAATTGACTGAATCTTATTAAACATATTAGGACATGATGATTTAATTAATTATGAAATAATATTCTGCCTTATAAAAGTAGCTTTCACACTGTTAAATATCTGGATATATCTGTGAGGAATATAAAAACACTGAGTTCAGTGTCCATCATTATTTTGTAGATCTATTTTGCTTTACTCACAGAAATGTTTTCAGTTCTCTCAAGATAGTATTTGGTTTCTAATACATATGGAAATTATAGTAATGTTATATGTGCCAATTTTAATAGAAAATGTTTGCATAATTTTATTTAATCTACCTGGTTTTCTCATGATAAGGAGTTTGTGGGTTTAGAAGTCCTGAATCTGAGCACTGGAAACTTTTTAATTTATTTATTTTTATCTTTACAGCTAAAAAGACTAGCACAGACCCATTAAATGTGGAGGATGCACACCAGCACAAGGTATATCTCTGTGTAGCAAAAAATATTTTTATAGAATGGTCCTGCTGGTTATTTTATACATCATCAAAAGGGAAAGAAAGATTACTGAAGCATGCATCAGGAACAGTGACTTCACCTTTGCTTTTAAGATACTTTGGAATAATCACATGAGAATCAGAGGGTTCTGGGCTGTTAATTTAGGAAGCAGTAAATGTAGCATATCTGGGCATACTAATATATTGGTAGACATTTCCTTTTTCCTCCTCTTCATGGAGCCATGAGGTTTATCAACCATGTCAAAGTTCCTCTGGGTTAAACACAGTATAAGAGTCAAAAGCATCGATCCATCCCTTCAAACTTGACACAGTGGGCAGTTATTCTTCATCTGGTGCTTGGGTTGTGGTAGTGACAGGAAGCATTGTTCCTGTTTTAATCTTAGCAGCCCACAATAATCTTCTCATATAGGCCAATTTGGGAGCATATCTGTCTTCTTGTTTTTAAATCCCTTCTTTTGTTGCCCTGCCTATAGTCTCTCACAGATACCAGAGAAAGAAACTTTCTTAATTTTAGCTCTCTCTGTATAACAATTGGGAAAGAAGAGTGTTTCTAAAGCATTCTTGTAAAGTCTTCTTTACAAGATTATTTCAAGAGCCTATAAAAATTTAGTAGATTAATATTTTTATTATATTTAGTAAGATTGATAGAGCTAAAATACTAACAAAAAGAAATTGAAATGGATGGCAGAAAATAAAGATTGGTACACATACTGCATCTATTATATTTGCCTTTCTTCTGTTAGTCTACTTTTCTGAAGAATCAGGTTGTATATATCCCAGCAGGCCCTGTGGTTAGATCAAATTATAAAATTGAATGGAATAATAGTTTAATTTATGAACAATCCAGAATGATTTAAGTATAGAACTGCAGCTGAAAATTAAAGCTAACTATGTATTTTGTTTCTATAGAAACCAAAATTCAGTTCTAAAAATTGCATTCAGTTTGTTTGTGATGAAAATTCCAACAGACAGAAGCCAGAACATGTAAAAGTTGATGAAAAAAGTAAAAAGGGCTTATTTATAAAGAAGGAAGATGTAAATGAACATTACCCAAAAGAATCCAAAAGCACGAAATTTATTAACTTCGACCATAAGCAATCAAGAGTTAACCAAATATTCTCTACAGGACTCAGAAAAGACAATCTCCGTAATGTCAAAGATCGCAGCACAAATGTGTCTAAATATAAAGGAAGAAGAAATGCACAACATAAAAGGACTCAGGTGGATAATCCAATCCAAGAAAGCAACCCAAGAAAGACCATAGCTGTCTCTTCTTCCAGAAAAAGAAGTAGATTGGTTACTCGTCAGGAACATATTCTCCAGACCCTTGATGACCTTACAGAAGAGTCATGTAAACCTTTTAGCGCAACTCTGTCAAGCCTGAAAAATGGATTAGGTAACAATATTGACACTTGTTCAATTCTTAAAGAGACACATACCCAGAGCCTGGATTTATCAGAAAGTCAGGACATAAAATCCTTGGAATTAGAATCCAGTGAGCAGACTAAAGCTGTTTCTTTCTCAGGATTTTCTATACATAAAGAAATCAAATTACCAGTTGTTACTGCAGATCAGCAGCCTCATACTCACCAAGAACAACAGCACATTAGTCCTTGTAAATCTAATGAAAACAGTAACTCGAATGAAAAAAAAGAGGGACTTAATAAGTGGGAAAATTTTAATAATGATGTTCATGGTGATTGCTGTACCTCTGAAAAGACTGTAACATCTGAAAACGTGATATGTTCTACAGGTTGCAAAAAACACTATAATTATAAAGAGAATATAACAAATACAGATGTAATGGATTCTCAACAATTTTTACCTTCTGAAGACCATTTTTCACAGGAAAATAAGTTAAATGCAGGTGGCCTAAGCATCCTTCCACAACAGGAAGTTGTTAATTTTTCTAATTCAGATAATATAACAGTTTCTGAACCACACATTGCAAATTATGAACAATGCGTATATGGAACTTCTTTTGATCACTCACACAGCAATCCTGAGCATACTTCCTTGGCTTGTACAAGAACACTTGCAACACATGAAGTTTCAGAGTTGACTAGTGATGTGGAGCAGCCTCAGGAGTGTATTAGCCCCAGAGTACCAAATCCTTTAATGAATCAAACAGATACACATATTGTGGAAAAAGTGAATAAGAAAGAAGGCACTGACAAAGGCCAAAAACCGAATTCTTCAAATGGAACTTTATCTACAGTTGTTCATTCCAAAGTAAAAGAAACAACTGAAGTTCAAAAAAGGAGACAAGACCTTCCAGAGAGCAAAATCATACATAATATAGATTTATATTCCACTGACAATATGAATAAAGAATTGATCAATATCTCACAAGTTAGTCAAAGAGAAGAGAAGGAAATTTCTCGTAAACCAGGTATTAGTATTATTGCTAGATTTGTACACATTTTCTATAAATTTACTTATTTTATAGAACTTTCCAATTGAATTTCACTTAACCTATGCCCAAACTGGCAAGAATGAGGACGTGTGGGCTACAAGTTGGGGGATGCTGTTAACTAGTTAAGTAATAGTGTTTACTTTGAAAGTCAAACTATTATTATTGAATATAGTTGCTAAATTAATATTGACAGAAGTTAATGAACAGTATTTATATCAAATTTTATTTTTAGTATAGACTTGTCTTAGTATCAGGAAATGTAACAACATTTTTACAGCAGGAAATCGTTAGCTCCAGTGATTTCAACAATTCACTATATTCCCACCAGAATTGCATTCAGGAAACTAATCTGTATTTGTTATATAAAAACATTTTTAGCCCAACCCATGCACCAAGAGTTTGCTGGTTCAGTTCCCATTCGGGGCACATGCCCAGGTTGTGGGCCAAATCCCCAGTGTGGGGCATGCAGGAGGTGGCCAGTTGATGTTCCCTCTCATCAGTGTTTCTGTCTTTCTCTCCCTCTCCCTTCCTCTCTCTCTCAAATCAATAATATATATATATATATATATATATATATATATATATATTTTTTTTTTTAAACCAACATTTTAATGTCTTCTATTCCCATTAAAAAAAAAAAAAGCAGTCCAACTAGGAACAGAAACTTCGAACAGTTACATGATTAGACTCTTTTCTAGTCATGTTACCAGTAAGAACTACCACACTGATATTGAAAAATATTTGTTTTTCAGATGAGGAATTAACTAATATCAATGGAGATGAAAGCACTGTAAGAAATTCTGAGGAGAAAAAAGATAAAACAAATTCTGAAATTCACATACCTGCTAACAATCAAGAACATTATAAAGTTCAGAATTTCAAGAAAAGACAAAATTTACTGAGAGCTACCTGCAGCCAAGGTTTGTATTCCTGTACTTGATTAGGTAAATTGTTTACATGGCCAAGCTCAGAAATATACTATACTTCAGTATATTTCTAAACTTTCAAATTTAGTTGTTTTTTTAGACATTCACTATGTTATAAGATTATTTCAGCTATATTTTTAGATGGTTTTACTGTAAAGCAACACTTGAGAATATATTAATCTTCAGATATATTCTTATGATATTTCTGCCTATGACTTCTAATTTGTTATTTTAGAGGACATAAACAGCAAGAATATTGAGTGTGGGTAGTGGGGGTGAACTGTGTCACATCTCTTAGACACTTCCACTGAGCCCTTTTAACATAAGGAACATTTAAAAAGCATAGCCACCAGTTTTTTTGTGTCATATGAATAAACAGGATGTATTTGGAAGTATGGACAAGCTAACTATCCTTTGATAGTTCTTGGAGCTAGTTCTGTGGTGAACAACAGGCTAGACCACTTTGAATTAAATACTAAGCATCAAAAAGTTGATTTATCTCCTGTCTAATGTACTGGAGGTAGGAAGGACACTGGATTAGGCATTTTCTGTGAACCGTCTCCCATTGTCCCTGTCTCATGTAAACTGAAGCCCTTATATATTCCTCCTATAATGAGTTAAATAGTGGCTCCTCAAAACATATGTCCATGTCCTAAGCCCTGGAATATGTGATATTATGTTATATAAAAGAGTGAATCTTACCTTATTTACAAAAAAAAATGTATAGATGTAATTAAGATTTTTTAAACTCTTTTTTTAATTAAAAATATTTTTTTATTTTTCAATCACAGTTGACATACAATATTATTTTAGTTTCAGGTGTATACCCCAGTAATTAGATATTATAAAACTTATTAAGTGATCATGCCCAAAAATCTCATACCCATCAGACACCATACATACTTATTAAAATATTATTGACTATATTCCCTGTGCTGTACTTTACAACCTAATGACTACACTGTAACTACTAGTTTGTGCTTCTAAGTCCCTTCACCTTTTTCACCCATCCCCACTACCTCCTTCCTGTCTGGCAACCTTCAAAATGTTCTCTGTATCTATGAGTGTTTCTGTTTTGCTTGTGTGTACATTTTGGTTTTTAGGTTCAATTGTTGATAGATATGCATTTATTGCCATTTTATTCATATTTTGTATCTTTTTTTTTTTTGCCTCTTAAAGAAGACCCTTTAACATTTCATATAATACTGGTTTGGTGGTGATAAATTTCTTTAGCTTTTTTTTTCCTTGGGAAGCTCTTTATCTGACTTTCAATTCTAAATGATAGCTTTACTGGGTAGAGTAATCTTGGTTATAGGTCCTTGTTTTTCATCACTTTGAATATTACGTGCCACTCCCTTCTGGTCTGCAAAGTTTCTGTTGAAAAATCAGCTAGTAGTCTTATGGCAGCTCCCTTTTAAGTAACTAACTGCTTTTCTCTTGCTGCTTTTAAGATTCTCTCTTTGTCTTTAATCTTTGGCATTTTAATTATGATGTGTCTTAGTGTGGGCCTCTTTGGATTCATCTTGTTTGGGACTCTGTGCTTCTTGGACTTGTATGTCTATTTCTCTCACCAGGTTAGGGAAATTTTCTGTCATTATTTTTTCAAATAGGTTTTCAGTTTCTTGCTCTCTCTCTTCTTCCAGCAGATACCATCGTTGGTATGCTTGAAGTTGTCCCTGAGGCTCCTTACACTATCTTCATATTTTTTATCCTTTTTTTCTTTTTGCTGTTCTTTCTTTTTGCTGGTATATGTTTTTTTAAATTTATTTTTACTGTTGAAAGTATTACAGATGGCCCCCCCCCCCCCCATCGACACCCTCCTCCCCACTCCTGTCCCCTGCTTCTGCCTTCACCACACTATTGTCTGTGTCCATCAGTTATGCATTTATGAATATCAGTTCCTTGGTTTCTCCCCCCCCCCACCCAGCCTCCCGATCCTCTTCCTTCCAAGCTTTGTCAGTCTGTTCCCTACTTCCATGTCTCTGGATATATTTTGTTTGTCAACTCATTTTGTTCATTATATTCCACAAATAAGTGAGATCATGTGATACGTCTTTTTCTTGACTGGGTTATTTCACTTAGCATAATACTCTCTAGGTCCCTCCATGTCGTCTCAAAGGGTAAGAGATCTTTCTTTCTTACAGCTATATAGTATTCCGTTGTGTAAATGTACAACAGCTTTTTAATCCACTCATCTACGGACAGGAGGGCTCAGCAAAGGAACAATGGCTTCTGCCAGCACTTTTGTCTGGGAGAAAGCACCCGCCCCCCACTAGCTCTTGCCCTGGTGCCAGACAATTTCGTTCCTCCCTGTATATCCCTGGTTCCTTTCAAGCTGCTGCCCCAGTGCTGGAGTCCAGAGGGAGTGAGTCCAAGTAAGTCTATGAGTGGGCCCTTTAAGAGGAACTGCCTAGGGTTCCAGAAGCTTCTGTGTTTCTCATCCTTAATCCCCACTAGTTTTTAAAGCTTGAAGTTATCAGGACTTCTCTTCCCCGCACTGGAACCCTGGGCAGAAGGGTCTGTTTGGTGTGGGGCTGGAATCCTTTACTCCTCAGGGGGGATTTCTGCAGCCAAGATACCTCTCCAGATTAAAAACTGCCACACGTGGGTGTAGGGACCAGCCTGTTCTGCGTCTCCACCCTTCCTACCAATCTTGATGTGGCTTCTTCTTTAATTCTCTAGTTGTAGGACTTTCATTCAGCCAAATTTCAGGAGGTTCTGAATAATGGTTTTTCTGTAGTTTAGTTGTAATTTTGATGTAGTTGTGGGAGGGGGCGAATACTGTGTTTACCTACTCCACCATTTTGATCAGAAACCCTAAATTAAGATCTTGAGATGAGGAGATAATCCTGGATTATTTGATGGGCCCTGAATCTAATTACTACAAGTGTCTTTATAAAAGAAAAACAGGAGATTTGAGACAAACAGGAGAGAAGATGATGTGAAGATGAAGGCAGAGAACTGATATAGCCAAATTCCAGGGAGCCAAAGAATGCTGATGTCCATCAGAAGTTGGAAGAGTCAAGGAAGGATTCTTCCTCAGAGCTTCCAGAGGGAGTGTAGCCCTGCTTACACCTTGGTTTTGGACTTCTGGTCTCCAGAACTATGAGATAATACACTTCTGTTGTATTTTATCTGTTTTTTAACTTTTTTAGAACACAGTGTCTGAATAGTATTTTTTTTTTTTATTGAGCCAATAAATTGAACAACCCAAGAGGAGATAATTCCAAATACATCTGGTAATTCCTTAACACAAAGACCAGTCTATCTCTCGATCACTCAAGAGTAAATTCAACCAACCACAGAGCTCTGCTTTGCACTCCCTTTACCCTCCACAGATTCCAATCAGCATTTTAGTTTCTCTCATTTAAATATGAACAATCAAAAATCAACAAGTATTTGTAGAAAATCCCAATATAAAAGAGACATCAAAATGATCTAAACAGACCAAAGGAACCCAGAAGAAACAGAAATAATGTAAGAGTCAGGATATATCTAAAACTTTTTCAAAAGGCTTAGAAAAAAAAGAAACAGAGAACATTACAGAGAGCCCTTAGAAGTTAAAAATATAATAGCAGAATTTATTTTAAAATATAGATATCTATAGCAGTTGGAAGGTATAACTTTCCAAGTCTCCTATAAAAAAAATTAAAACAAGGAGAGGAAAGAAAATTAGAAAATTACTCCAGGATATCCAGAGAGAACAGTGAAACTAGGAAAATAAATTATTAAAGAAATAAAGGACAGAAGTTTCCATATTGAAAGGACCCACGTGTCCAGTACAATAAAAAAGACATCTCACTGAAATTGCAGAACAAAAATAAAGAGAAGATCCAAAAAGCATCTAGAGAGGAAAAAACAAGTCACATACAAAGGTACAGACAGCTGAATATTTTTTTTCTTTTTCTTTTTTTTATCCTCACCAGAGGATATCTTTTTCATTAATTATAGAGAGGGAGGAAGAGAGAGAAACATTGATGTGAGAAAGAAATATCGATATGAGAGAGAAACATCAATCTATTGCCTCCTATATGCACCACAACCAGGGATGGACCTGCAACCTGGGTATGTGCTCTGAGTTCATGCACGGGATGACGCTCTAACCAACTAAGGCACACTAGCCAGGGCCAACTGAGTATTTCTTAATGTCATTATACTTTATTAATAAATAACTAATAATTAATACTTTATTAAATAAATATAAAATATAATGCTATTAAGAAATACTCAGCTTTAACTACAGTGGACTTTTTAAAAGAATTTTAATTTGAGTTACACTTTTTTCCTTTCCATTTTCTGCCAGATTTTGTTATTTTTAAATTTTAGTTAAATGCTATAGACTATCATTTTTGCTGCAGACATACCAGGAACAAGGTGAGAGGATTTGTATCATTCACAGTAACAATTACTAGGAGAGATTTTCCAATTCAAACTTGGAATCTGCAAACCTATACCATCTTAGTTACTTTATCATTTAAATATATGTGTAGTCTTTATTCTTCCAATAAAGAATTTCTGAGTGAAAATTTCTAAAGAAATTTAGAAATTTGTCTGGATATCAATGGATGATAGACATAAGGCTATTAGTCTTCCCTGTGACTCTCATAACCAAAGGATCCTCTTAATTTTTTTTCTCTTGCTCTGAAATAATATGCCTGGTTGCTGACATTTAGGAAATGGTGCAGGGTAAAGGACTGATGGATTAATGCAGCGTTTCTCAAACCTTATTTTGCATCAGTCACTTGGAAAGCCCATTGAAACATTGCTGGGCTCTACCATCAGGACTTCTGATTCATTAGGTGTGTTAGTGCATAAAAAATGATCAAAAACTTAGTTTAAAACAACACACCTTTATTATCTCATAGTTTCTGTAGGTCAGGAATGGGGCACGGCTTAGCTGGGTCCTCTGCTCAGGATCTTTCACAAGCTGCAGTCAAGGTGTTGGTCAGGACTGGGGTCTCATCTGAAGGCTCAATTAGGGAAGGATCCACGTTCAAGCTCATGTGATTGTTGGTAGAATTCAGTTCCTTTAGGTTAGGATATTCTGTAGTTATCCTCAGTTTCTTACTTCATGGGCTCTTTCAAGGTAGCCACTTGATTAATCAAAACTTGATTAGCCCAAGTCAACTAGCAAGATAAAAAATGTTACAATCTTTTGTAACCTAATCAAGGAAATGAAATGCCCTCAATGTTGAGAACATTCTATTGGTTAGAAGCAAGTTTCTCAAGAGGAGGGGATTACACAAGACTGTAAACATGAGGAGGTAAGGATCATTAGGAGCCATCTTAAAGTCTGCCCTCCAGAGTAGGCTTTGGTTGGCTGAAGAATTTGCATTTCTACCAAGTTTCCCAAGTCATACTAATACTGCTGATCTGGGACTCCACTTTGAGTACTACTGGGTCAATGAATATTACTTTCTGTTTAACCAGCCTAACCCTCAACTTTGCCATGTGTCTCAGTCTGAAACTTCTCTTATGCAGTTTCTACAGAATATAAATCTCCAGGTTCCTGACTTAGGGATTGGGACCTGGATAAGAGGAGTGGTAGCCAGACAATTTGGGGCTGGAAAAGGTAACTTGGAGTTCCAACTTTTCTCTATATATACTTTTTCACTCAGTCTCCCTGTTTTCAGCCCTGTTCACATGCTGCCTTTCATGATACCTGGTGCAGATCAGCTCCCTTCCTCTGCATATTCTTTTGGCAGGCACTTGGGTTGTAGCATTCCCCACTCTGCTAAGTCAGTTAACTCTTCTCCAATTCTCCCAAATTTGTTGAAGTCTTCTCTTGTGCTCTTTTGTTTCCTCTTTCATTTATTTATATGATATTTTAAAAAATATATCTTTTACTATCATTTTAGCATGGTTTGGGAAGGAAATAGGGAAAAATAGGAAGTCCCTTCACTGTTTTTAGTTCTAACTTAAGTCTGTGTAACCTATGTTGCAAGGAAAGGATTTAAAAAAGAATCTTTAGATAATGATACTATACTTTAGTTTTTATGAAAGAAAAATAATAAACCAATAGGCCATAGCTTGGTTCTTGGCATCTTATGTGAGCAGAAATAGACTCATTGAGATAGAGAATAGCTATAGAAAGAGAATTTTTATAAAATCACAATTTGTTTTAAGAAAAATATTATCGCCCTGGCCGGTTTGGCTCAGCGGTTAGAGCGTCAGCCTGCGGTCCTGAGAGGCCCGGGTTCGGTTCCCGCTAAGGGCATGTACCTCGGTTGCAGTTTGTCCCCGGCCCTGGTCGGTTGTGCGGGTGGCAACCACTCGATGTGTCCCTTCACATCGATGTTTCTCTCTCTCTCTCTGTTCCTCTCTCTCCCTCCCACTCTACCTGAACAAAAAATGGAAAAATGTCCTCGGGTGAGGATAAAAAAAAAAAAAAAAAAAAAAAAAAGTTGATGCCCTGGCCGGTTTGGCTCAGCGGTTAGAGCGTCGGCCTGCGGTCCGGAGAGACCCGGGTTCGGTTCCCGCTAAGGGCACATACTTCGGTTGCAGTTTGTCCCCGGCCCTGGTTGGTTGTGCAGGTGGCAGCCACTCGATGTGTCCCTTCATGTCGATGTTTCTCTCTCTCTCTCCCTTCCTCTCTCTCCCTCCCACTCTATCTGTACAAAAAAAAAAAAGGAAAAAAATATCCTCGGGTGAGGATAAAAAAAAAAAAAGAAAAATATTATCCATTGCTAAAGAAATACTGAAGGTGAAATTAGTGTAGAACTGAAACAAGTTTATTTATTTTAATCAAGCATATGATAGAGTGACTGAACAGCAGCTAGAATAAATGTGAAGTAATATGCTTAAATGCCCTATAGTTTCTTCACAAGTTGAAGAATTGTGTTTCAGTTATATTTTAAAATAGTAATAGTAATGATAATATCAATTGATGTATGTTTCTGTATTGTGCACCCTACTTAGGGTATTTTGAAGAAGTTGGTATGTATTTTCTAAGTTCCTTTATAATAATCAGCATTTGGCAGAAAAGAAGTCTGTTTTGCTTGGTAAATTTACAGAAATGAAAACAGCTGGAATCAATAAGAGGCATGCCATCGAGGAAAGCCCACTTCATTTGGCTGTCAGAAGAGGAAACTTGTCTCTGATGAAAGTTCTAATAGAATCTGGAGCAGATGTGAATCTAAAAGATAATACAGGTTTGGATTCTTTTAACTTCAATTATGTTTATAATTTGAAATCACTAAAATATACATGTCACAGCTCCCACCCCAGTTTTGAATCTGGCTGCTTTATAACAGCTACCTTGGAACAATCTTTTTAAAAAAATAATATATTAACCGAATAGTAAGATTTATCTTGGTTCCCAGCAATTGCTAAAATAACCTTCTTCAAAACAGTTTTTAACATGCATTTGGGAGCATTCAACAAGAGTATACAGAGTGGGGAGTAAGGGAAGCTTTAATTAGGTGTTTTCCTTGGAGGCCTTAATACCATTCCCTAACTTTAGAGAGAATGCAAATTTTTCCCATTTTATTGTTCCTCTTCCCTTTCCTCCTCTCTTTCTACTATTCCTTTCATCTCCCCTCCCTTAATTTAATTTTCATTTTACTCTTCACCCAAGGATATTTTCTATTTATCATCAGATAGAGTGGGAGGGAGGAGGAGAGAGAGAGAGAGAAACATCAGTGTGATAGAGCCACATCAACTGGTTGCCTCCCGCATGACCCAACCAGGACTGGGGACAAACTGCAACTGAGGTTTGTGCCCTTGACCGGAATTGAACCCACAACTCATTGGTCCGCGGGCCCACGCTCTAACCGCTGAGCCAAACTGGCTAGGGCCCTTATTTTAATTTTAATCTTCAGTTATAAATTAATCTTCTAACATTTTGCTCAACTCAAAAGAATCTTGTATGAACAATTCCAGAGGGGAAAACTCAAAGATCAATTGAATCACATCCTTTTAAAGAGAAATATGACAATGGAAGCACACAAGTAGAAAAGTCAGACATTATCTTACTATATTTAATATCTGAGTTGAAACAAATTTACATGATTAATACTTAACTCCAGTCCCAGGTGTTCAATGTTCTGTGAGTCTTTTGTTTTGACACTTCTACCAACAAATATTTTTTATTAGCTCAATTTGATTTAAAAAATGAAATACAGGAGACTTCCGGTCAAGATGGCGGCGTAGGTAAACGCTGTATCGCGTCCTCCCACAACCACATCAAAGTTACAACTAAACTACAGAACAACCATCATTCAAAACCGCCTGAAATCAAGCTGAATGGAAGTCGTACAACTGCGGAATTAAAAAAAAAAAAGCAGCTACATCCAGATTGGTAGGACAGGCTGCACGGTGGTGCGCGGCGGCGAGACGGGCTGGTCCCACACCCACGTGTGGCGGATAAAAATCAGGAGGCTGCCGCGGCTGGGAAGGTCCTTCCTGAGGACTGAGGGGTCCCCGTCCCACACCAGGTGCCCCGCTCAGGGTTCCAGTGCCAGGAAGAGAAGTCCCCATCACTTCTGGCTGGAAAAACCAGCGGAAACTGAGGCTCAGGGAAGCTGAAGCGGCTGGAGCCCCAGGCAGCTCCCTAAAGGGCCCGCGCACGGACTTACCGGACTCTCTCCCTCTAAGCTTGGAGGGGAGGCAGCTCGAGGGGCGCCAGAGACATACAGGGAAGAACGGAGCTGTTTGGCACTGGAGCGAGGGCTGGAGAGGGGGCTTCCTCGGGGACAAACGTGCTGTAAGAGGCCTTTGTTTCTTGGGTGAGCCCTTCCCGGGGGCGGCAGACAGAAGCCATATCTGGGACTCCAGCAACCTGGCTCACACTGGTAGCCCCGCCCTGCTGACTTCCTGAGGCCCCGCCCCGCCCCACACCACTTCAAGCCCACCCAAGCTGTTGCCACTTGCTTAACCATAGGATTGGCCGGTCTTGGATCCTGCTTCAGGTTTTTCCTAAATTCTTTCAAACGAGCAGCATCTGGTTTCAGCGAGCCCCATACCTCTCATTAAGTAATACACTGAAACAAACACAGGGAGGCAGCCAAGATGAGGATACAAAGAAACAGGTCCCAAATGAAAGAGCAGAACAAAACCCCAATAAAAGAACTAAGCGAAAGGGAGATAAGCAACCTAACAGATACTGAGTTCAAAATACTGCTTATAAGGATGCTCAATGAACTTAGGTGAGAACCTCAGTGAACTTAGGGAGGGCCTCAAGAGCATAAAAAAGGACCAGTTAGAAATCATGGATACACAGTTAGAATTGAAGGAGGCATTAACTGAAATAAAGAATAATTTACACAGCTTCAATAATAGAGTACGTAATCCAAGGAGCAAACCATCGATTTGGAACATAAGGAAGCAAAAAATCCCCAATCAGAACAGCAAAAAGAAAAAAGAATCCAAAAACATGAGGATAGTGTAAGGAGCCTCTGGGACAACTTCAAGCGTGCCAACATTCGCATCTTGGGAGTGCCCGAAGGAGGAGAGAGAGAACAAGAAATCGAAAACCTGTTTGAAACAATAATGGCAGAAAACTTTCCTAACTTGGTGAAGGAAACAGACATACAAGTCCAGGAAGCACAGAGAGTCCCAAACAAGATGAACCCCAAGAGGCACACACCAAGACACATCATCATCAAAATGCAAAAGGTTCAAGACAAAGAGAGAATATTAAAAGCAGCAAGAGAAAGGCAGCTAGTTACCTACAAGGGAGTACCCATTAGGCTGTCAGCTGATTTCTCAAAAGAAACTTTGCAGGCCAGAAGGGAGTGGCAAGAAATATTCAGAGTGATGAAAACCAAGAACCTACAACCAAAATTACTCTATCCTGCAAAGCTGTCATTTAGAATTGATGGACATATAAAAACTTTCCCAGACAAGAAAAAGGAGTTCATCACTACCAAACTGTTATTATATGAAATGATGAAGGGTCTTTTTGAAGAAAAAGATAAAATGTATGAACAAACAAAATGGCAATGAATACATATCTATCAACAATGGAATCTACAAACAAAATGAACAGGAAGAACAGAAACATTCTCATAGATACAGAGAACATTTTGTTGGTTGCCAGTTGGGAAGGGGGTTGGGGGAATGGGTGAAAAAGGTGAAGGGATTAAGAAGCACAAATTCATTGCTAGACTGACAAACCTCAAAGGGAAAGGGGTTGGGGGGGTGGGAAGAAATAAACCAAAGAACTTATATGCATAACCAATGGACACAGACAATAGTGTGGGAAAAGGTGGGAGGGGGGCGGGAGTGGGGAGGAGGGAGTCAATGGGGGAAAAATGTGGAACATCTGTAATACATTTTACATCCAAAAATAAAGATTTGAAGGAAAAAATAATGAAATACACATTTTAAGGCCATGGTTTCAATATCATTTCTTTTCTAGTAATGTATATGTTTGAGTCAATATAGATATTAACTCCATTAGTGCAAATAAATTTAATAATGAATATATGTAAGCTGCAGCTTGTTTTTTCCCTTTTTCCTTTTTTAGGTTGGACACCACTACATAAGGCATCTACTGAGGGATCAAATGATATAATTGTAGAGTTGTTAAAAGCTGGTGCTAATGTTAATTGTGAAAATTTAGATGGAATTCTGCCCTTACATGATGCTGTTGCAAATAATCATTTAAAGGTACTGTACATATCCAGTCTGGTTCCTATTACTCTTTCTTAGAAAAATGAATGAAGAAAATGAAGATATTTTAAATTGAGGACTAAAGTGATTCCTTATAACAAATTATTTTTAAAACCTTAAAATTATAGCCCTGGCTGGTTTGGCTCAGTGGTTAGAGTGTCAGCCCTCGGACGAAAGAGTTTTAAGTTCAGTTCCTGCCTAGGGCATGTACCTCAGTTGCCATTCAGTCTCCAGACCTGGTTAGGGTTGTGCGGGAGGCAACCAATCGATTTGTCTCTCTCACAGAGATGCCTCTCTCTCCACCCCCCCCCCCTTTCTCCCTCTCTCCCACTGTATCTGAAGATAAAGGGAAAAATATCCTTGGGTGAGGATTTTTAAAAGAAATCAAAATTACAAAGATAAGACATTGTATAATGACTGGAAAATCAATGTATTTCCTAATGATTCATTCTTCCATTGTCTCTTCATCACATAATTCATATAAATCAGAATAAAATGAAATGATTCAGAGTAAACATTGGCTGTAAATCTAATACATTCCATTTTTAATGGTTTTAAATGATTAGTTATTGTGCATAAAAGAGTCTAAATATTGTGATGCTACATGGGACAACTAGACTTTATTTAACTCAGAATTACTCAGTAGGTTTGAGGTTTCAAAGAAATGGATAAAAACGCAAATAGTGCCCTGGCCAGTTTGGCTCAGCGGTTAGAGCATCGGCCTGCGGTCCGAAGAGACCCTGGTTCGGTTCCCGCTAAGGGCACGTATTTCGGTTGCAGTTTGTCCCTGGCCCTGGTTGGTCGTGCGGGTGGCAGCCACTTGTGTCCCTTCACGTCGATGTTTCTCTCTCTCTCTCCCTCCCACTCTATCTGTACAAAAAATGGAAAAATATCCTCGGGTGAGGATTAAAAAAAAAACAAAAACGCAAATAGTTTGTTACCTGGGGAGGGGGTGGTGGTGTATATTTTTCTTAATCAGTGTGATAAAAAATATCATAAGAGAAAATTACTAGGGTCACTATTTTGATAACACTGAATTTCAAATCTAGACTTTAAATTCTTTAGATTTTTATTTATTTATTTTTAAATTTATTTATTTATTTTGTTACAGATGTTTTTCCTTTTCCCCCCACTGATTCCCACCTCCCCCTCCCTCCCTGGCTTGTCCCCAGCTTTGTTATCCAAGTCCATTGTTCATGCATACATGCATATAAGTTCTGTGGTTTATCTCTCCCCAACCACTCCCTCTTCTGGGGATTGTCAGTCGGTACCCCACTTCCACGTCTCTGGGACTACCCCATTCTTCAGACTGTTATGTTCATCATATTCCACAAATAAGTGAGATCATATGATACTTGTCTTTCTCTGTTTGGCTTGTTTCACTTAGGATAATACTTTCCAGGTCCTTCCATGTCATCTCAAAGGATAAGAGATCTTTCTTTCTTACAGCTGCATTGTACTCCATTGTGTATATGTACCACCGTTTTTTTATCCATTAGTCTACTGATGGGCATTTGGGCTGTTTCCAGATCTTAGCTATTGTAAATAGTGCTGCTACAAACATGGGGGTACAAATATTCCTTCTGATTGGTGTTTCAGGCTTCTTAGGTTATATTCCTAGGAGTGGGATCACTGGGTCAAATGGAAATTCAATTTTTAATTTTTTTAAGTAACACCATATTGTTTTCCATAGTGGCTGCACCAGTCTGCATTCCCACCAGCTGTGTACTAGAATCCCCTTGCCAACATTTGTTGTTTGATGATTTGTTGATGGCAGCCATTCTGACAAGTGTGAGGTGATACCTCATTGTTTTAACTTGCATCTCTCTGATGATTAGTGATGTTGAGCATTTCTTCATATATCTCTTGGCCATTTGTATGTCCTGTTTGGAGAGATGTCTATTTTGTTCCTCTGCCCATTTTTCAATTGAGTGATTTGTCTTACATTTGTTGAATTGTATGAACACTTTATATATATTGGAAATTAACCCCATATCTGATAAATCATTGGCAATTATGCTATCCCATACAGTGGGTTGCCTTTCCATTTTGATGATTTTATCTTTTGCTGTGCAGAAGTTTTTAAATTTGATGTAGTCCCATGTGTTCATTTTCTCCTTCTTTTCTGTTGCCTTAGGTGATGTATCAGTGAAAATTCTGCTGCATATGATGTCCGAAATTTTGTTGCTTACATTTTCTTCTAGGAATTTTATGGATTCATGAGTCATATATAAGTCTTTTTTCCATTTTGAGTTTATTCTTGTATATGGTGTAAGTTGATGGTCCAGTTTCACTTTTTTGCATGTAGCTGTCCAATTTTCCCAACACCATTTATTAAAGAGGCTATCTTTACTCCACTGTATGCTCTTGCCACCTTTGTCAAATATAAATTGAGCATGTTGCCTTGGGTCCATTTCTGGGTTCTCTGTTCTGGTCCACTTGTCAATATGCCTGTTCTTGTGCCAGTACCAGGCTGTTTTGATTACAGTGGCGTTGTAGTACAACCTGAAATCTGGTAATGTGATCCCTCCTACTTTGTTTTTCTTTTTCAAGACTGCTGTGGCTATTCGAGGTCTTTTTTGGTTCCATATGAACTTTTGAAGTATTTGTTCCAGTTCTGTGAAGTATGTCATTGGTATTTTGATGGGGATTGCATTGAATCTATAGATTGCTTTGGGTAGTATGGACATTTTAATGATGTTAATTCTTCCAATCCATGAACAATGTATGTGCTTCTACTTTTTTATATCTTCCATTTCTTTTTTCAATAACCTGTGTTTTCTGTGAAGAGGTTTTTTATTTCCTTAGTTAAGTTTATTCCTAGGTATCTTAATTTTTTTGCTACGATGGTAAATGGGATTGTCTTCTTATTTCTTTTTCTGTAATTTCATCATTGGTGTATAAGAATACCATCGATTCCATGATGTTAATTTTTTATCCTGCTACTTTGCCAAATTCATTTATTAAGTCCAGTAAATTTTTGATGGAGTCTTTAGGGTTTTCTACATATACTATCATGTCATCTGCGAATAATGACAGTTTCACTTCCTCCTTTCATATTTGGATCCCTCTTATTTTTTATTCCTGTCTGATTGCTGTGGCTAAGACTCCCAGGACTATGTTAAATAAAAGTGGCAAAAGTGGGCATCCTTGTCTTGTTCCTGTTCTTAAGGGAAATGCTTTTACTTTTTGCCCCTTGAGTATGATGTTGGTTGTAGTTCTTTCATATATGACCTTTATTATGTCAAGATATGATTACTCTATTGCCACATTGCTGAGCATTTTTATCAGAAATGGGTGCTGGATTTTGTTGAATGGCCTTTCAGTGTCTATTGATATGATCATATGGTTTTTATCTTTCATTTTGTTAACGTGGTGTATCACATTTATTGATTTGTGAATATCATACAAGCCTTACATCCCTGCGATGATTCCCACTTGGTCATGGTGAATAATTTTTTTGATGTATTGCTGGATTTGATTTGCTAGCATTTTGTTCAGGATTTTGGCATTTACGTTTATCAGGGATATTGGTCTATAGTTTTCTTTCTTTGTAGTGTCTGGTTTTGGAATTAGAATTATGCTGGCCTCATAAAACAAGTTTGGCAATCTTCCTTCTTCTTGACTTTTTTGCAATGGTTTGAGGAGAATGGGTGTTAGTTCTTCTTTGACTGTTCGGTAAAATTCCCCCGTGGAGTCTTCCAGGCCTGGGCTTTTGTTTGCTAGAAGAGTGTTGATTACATCTTCAATTTCTTCAGTTGTTATTGGTCTGTTAAAATTTTCTATCTCTTCCGGGTTCAGTTTTGGGAGACTATGTGTTTCTAGAAATTTGTCTATTTCGCTTAGATTGTTGAATTTGTTGCCGTATAATTGTTCATAGTATTTGTTAACAATCCTTTGTATTTCTGTCGTGTCAGTTATTATTTCTCCTCTTTTATTTCTGATTTTGTGTATTTGGGTTCTCTTTGTTTCTTGGTGAGTCTAGCTAAGGGTCTATCAATCTTGTTTATCTTTTCAAAGAACCAGCTCTTTGTTTCATTGATCCTTTGGATTGTGTTTTTGGTCTCCATGTCATTTATTTCCTATCTGATCTTTACTATTTCCTTCCTTCTACTTGCTCTGGGGTTTTCTTTCTGCTTGCTTTCTAGTTCTTTAAGTTGTGAGGTTAGATAGTCTGTTAGAAATTTTTATTGCTTCCTGAGGTAGGCCTGTAGTGCTATGAACTTCCCTCTCAGAACTGCTTTCGCTGCATCCCAAAAATTTTGTGTTGTTGGGTGTTCATTTTCATTGGCTTCCAGGAAGTTTTTAATTTCTTCCTTGATCTCCATAGTAACCCATTCATTGTTCAGTAACATGCTATTTAGCTTCCATGTGTTCAAATGTCTTTGCATGTTCTTGTTGCAATTGATTTCTAGTTTCATGCCATTTTGATCTGAGAAAATGCTTGATATGATTTCAATCTTCTTGAACCTGTAGAGACTTGTGCCCTAACATGTAGTCTATCTTTGAGAATGTCCCATGTGCACTTGAGAAGAATGTGAATTCTGCAGTTTCAGGGTATAATTCTCTGTAGATATTTATTAAATCCATTTGCCCTAGAGCTTCATTTAGAGCCTCTGTTTCCTTGTTAATTTTTTGCCTAGAGGATCTATCCAGTGATATCAGTGGGGTGTTGAAATCCCCTGCTATGATTGTATTGCTGTCGATTTTTCCTTGGAAGTCCTCCAGAAAATTTTTAATATATGTTGGTGCTCCTATATTGGGTACATATATGTTTATCAAGGTTATATCTTCCTGTTGGATAGATCCTTTCAGTATTATGTAGTGGCCTTCTTTGTCTCTAGTTATGGTCTTCATTTTGAAATCTATTTTATTATGAGTATTGCTACCCCAGCTTTTTTTTTCCTTTCCAATTGGTTGAAAGATTTTTTTCCATTCCTTCACTTTCAAACTATGTCTTTTGTTGTGAGGTGGATCTCTTGTAAACAACATATATG